GGTCGGAGGGGTGGGGTGGGGGTGCGGGGGCGCGGCTGTGGAGGAAAGGGGCGGCTTGCTGGGGTGCAGGCGTGGATGTTTGGTGCAGCGCTCCGGCGGTCGCAAAGGGCGAGCCAGCACCCGCTGCGAGGGTGTGTGGCGTTGCGCGGTGGTGGTGGCGTTTCATCCGACCGCGGGGCCGCTCAGCCCGCGCTCCACGCACGCGCCCGCTCTCCGCAGGGGCGCGGCGTCCGTGCCGAACAGCGTGTTTGAGGACCACGCGGGCAGCAAGGTGCGGCGGCCGGCGCAGTTCACATACCTGACCGCCTACAACCTGAGCCTGAAGGAGCTGGGGCAGCTGGTCAACAGCACGTACACCGACAGCCACATCAGCTACTGCATCCAGGTTGGCGCCTGATGTCAGGCCACCCCATGGTTCCAGGGTCACGACATGGCGCTCTATGCGCTCTGCGTTGCATCACAAGCTTGGGCCGCCCCGGCCCCGCCTGCCGCGTCCAAACCCTGTTGCCTCGCTCACACCGCCGGTGCTGCCCTCTGACCTGCTGGCGCTGCGTTCGTCACCAAAACCGTAGTGCCACGATGGCGGCGACCTGATGTGCTGCGACGGCTGCCCCTCCGCGTACCACCCGGAGTGCGTCGGCTTTGCCGCGGTGCCCAAGGAGAGCTGGTTCTGCCCCGCGTGTGTTCAGGTGTGGCGCCGGGCGCGCGCGCGGCGCTCTGAATCGGGGCGCCTGAGGCGGCAGGCGTCCTGCATCCGCGTTGGCTCCGCTCGCAGCAGCCGCGCGGCCATGCAGCGCTCCCGATAGGGGGGTGTGGCGGTGCGGACGCACCAAATCAGACGAGAGTAAGCGGGCCGTGAGTGGGCCGCGATGCGCCGCTGTTGCTCACCCCTCCCTGTCCGCGCCAGGCTGGCCGCGAGCCGCCGGGCTACCGCACGAGTGCCCTGTTCAAAGAGACACAGAAGGGCATGGAGCTGGCGCGGGCGAAGCTGAGGGAGCAGCAGAAGGCGGCCGCAGGTAGGCGGCCGCGCGGCTCGCGGGTGACCACATGCACTGGGGTAACGCTGGCGCGCCTGCTCGTGCAGCGCTGGCAAATCAGGCGACGGCTGTCTTGACGAAGCTGCACTGCCTGTCTGATTTCTGCTCAACGCCGCTCCCCTCACAGTGGCAGCCAGCGCGGCGGCGACGCAGGCTGCGGCGGGTGCGGGCGCGGACACGGCGGTGCCGCCTGGCGACCAGCTGGCGCCTGCGGTTGGGGAGCTGCCCGCTGACGTGGCAATCCCAGGGCTGCCAAATTTCGGCAGCTTCCTGCCGTCCATTGCCCCAGATTTGCCAGTCGAGGGAGAGGCCCTGCCCGTGGCTCCTGCCGCGGCCCGCGGCAGGGGCCGGGGACGGGGGCGGGGCCGCGGGCGCGGAC